GGTAGTTTCTACATCAATCTTAAAATTTATTAATCCTTCTTGCTCGTTTAAGATCATANTATGATCTTAAACGAGCAAGAAGGATTAATAAATTTTAAGATTGATGTAGAAACTACCTCAAAATCGATTGAGAACTCAAAAACCCTAACTTGTTTTTTCAGCCGCTTTCCCACTCGTATCTCCGTTTTTCTTCAAAATTTCGGAGGGGTTCTCCTCTCCATCTGAAGGCAAATATATATGTGTGAGAAATAGGGTTAAAGTGAGAAGCGTAAAAAATGATATAGACTTTTTGATCAACTTTAATCTCAAACTCACCTGTAAATCACGTTTGATACGAGAATTGATGTGGTGCATCTCGATTCATCTCATCGTAATGTGCATCCAAGGTAAAAATCCACCATTATGTTTCTCACCTTACTTTCTTTCTCACCGGAACTAACCTTATATGTATGTGTCTCTGTTGGAAGAGAGATGTTATAATCAACCTTTATGGTAAAGAAAATCTCGTTAGAAATAAAGAGAGAGAAACCCAAAAATAAATTTGGGGTGTTACAGGAGTGGAGCGAATTTGCCCAAATACAAGGCAGGACCCAAGTTCAATTATTGAGTACAAAAAATGTTCTTTCACATTCATGTCCTTAAAGACAAGTTCCATGTAAAAATGGTTAGAATTACCGGTAATCAACCTGTTTTGTCTAAATTTATCAAAATAAAAGTAACAAATATTTATCCAAATTAAAAAAAAAAAGTTTCCCGTCCCGTCCAGTCCTATCCCCTTGTCCTAATCCTACCCTTTTGTCCGGTCATATCCGGTCATGTCTTATTTAGTCATGTCCTATTTAGTCATGTCCAATTACATTTGTGTATCAAATGCTACCTGATTAACCACGAGGAACTAAACCTTTCTCTATCTGTGGTTGCCTCCCCCCACCTCTTTTAGCCATATTCGTGCGCCCTCCCCCACCGCCTTTCTCCATCTCCGTTTCCTGTAAAATCCCATTTTGGATTGCCATCTCCTATCAGATCTACTATAGTCGACGTAGGGACTCGTCCGTCGGTCTCCTTTTCTTCCACCGTCTCCATCGCCTCCTCTCCTCTGCAATCGGTACGATTTCTCCATCTCGCTTTTTTGCATGCGTACGATTTCTCCATTTCTCCACTGCGTACGATTTCACCATGTAATGGTTGTGTGTGTGTAATGGCTGTGTGTGTAAAGAACTCCTCATGCTCGCACTGTTAATTTATCCTTTACCATGTAGTTTTAATAATAAAATGCTCCTCTGCATAAAAGCCTATTTCACATAAACTATTGATCTTTGAACCTACATAAATTGAAGTCTTCTCTTACAGTAAATACTCTTTGATAGCTCCCCTGGACTTTGTCAATGGAAAAGCATCCAAATCTTCCAAGTCTCAGTCAACTACTTTTGTAGGGACAATTCTTATCATTGCTAGCTAACAAAGAGCTGTTGTAGGTATACCAACAATAGGCTTACGTAACTGTTAAACTAAATTCAGTCAGGTCTCCGCCTCAAAACTATGAAGGAATAATTGTTGATGGAACCAATGTAGTTTCTGCTTTTTTGGGACTTAAATTTGAGAAATAGATCACCAAACGCAATGCACAACTGGAGTCCGTTCGCAATAGGGGTTCAGTCATAGATGAATAGAGGCCATGAATGTTCTCAAATAACATTGAACAACATTTAGGGGTAATATAGTCATTTTAACAGTCCTGTCATGTCCTAGTCGTACCAAACATAGTTCCAAACATAGGACAGACAATTAGTCCTGTCTCGTCCCATCCTGTCCTGTCTCATCCGGTCTGCATACCAAACACTACCTTAAGAGCCTCAAATGGCACAAGCAAAAAGATGGTGTTGCTTTGGTTTTTGGTGGCAAGCTTCAAGCTTGTTTCATTTCACTCAATTGGCTCCTCATTGGACGTTCACATATTTTCTACATGGTGTTTCAGATTTATGTGCGAGGCTTGGTTACATGATTGTTTTTTGGTTTTTAAAAAATCCTCGTTTTTCGTTGGAAACAAGGATGGGGATATGATCATAACAAAGACGGAGGATGATGTAACACCCCAAATTATGGGCTATTTGCATTGTTGATTTTAATGACATGCTTATGGTGTCAAGTCTTTAAAGGTAAAGATTATTTTGTCAAATAATGAATATCAGAGAAATAAGACATATATTTATAAATAAAAAGGAAAAAGAAGTTTACTTCGAATATAAGAGCATCGACAATGGAGGTTTTTGATAGGGTTCTTTTTAGATTTTTTACTAGAACCTCTGAGACGGAGGTTCTTATACAGTCACATGTTCTTATTAGAACCGAGTTGCTCTAACAAGAATCAAAATTCTTCCGTACTTTCCTTTTCTGTTATTATCTTATTTATTTCTTAACCATTTTATTTTCTTTTAATAAATCTATAGAACATAATATAAAATAATTTTTTTAATTTTGTTTTATTTTTCTTTTCTTATAATTTTTATACAATTTTTTTAATTATTTCCTTATATTATTATATTTAGATTATTTTTCATATATATATATATATATATATATGTGTGTGGGGGGGGGGGGGTGTGTGTGTGTAGGGTTAGGTTCCCGTGAGAAGTAAAGTTAAAGTCAGAAGACTAAGAAATGATCTACACCCTTGGATGCACATTAGGATGAGATGCACTGAGATGCGCCAAATCAATCTCTATATCAAGCGCAATTCATATGTGGGTTTGAGATTAAAGGAGATCAAAGATCCGGATCCCTTATTACGCTTATCATATTAACTCTCATTCTAACACGTTCATCTGCACGCGCACACACGCACATATATATACACACACATATGTGTGTGTGTGAACTCGTGTGATTCACATATGAACTATATGTTCATATGTGAACCTGTTCATATGTGAACACGTTCATATGTGAACCTGTGTGATTCACATATGAACTAAAATCATTATTTTCTCTCTTATAAAGAACTAGTGATTTATGGTTTCTTCTACATCTTTTGACTTTCTGTTTATGTCTTTACTTGTTTTCTTTCATATGGTTGAATATCTCACTAATGGCAAGTCTCAACCCCACAACCATTTATTTAAAAGACTTAATGCCAGCTGCACCGCAGATAACTGATGCTTCTTTAATTTTGGATGTGTGATTGCGCACTGATACAAAGTTAACGCATTCTAATGAATTTGATTTGTAGAATGTTGGCATTCTCAACCCCTTGTTCTTAAATGGTATTGATGTAACAAGTTGGAAGAGTTTATCTGGAGTACGTGCAAACAATAGCATCCTGCAGCTCGTTCCAGATGTCAAGGTAGGGAGGCTTCAGAAACTCTAAATACTGCATTAAGTGCGTTAGGGATAACTTATGGGCATACAAGTGTGCATATTCTCTGATGGTTTTTCCTTCACTCCTGAAAATCAAAAATCTCCTGCAAAAAAAGTTGCAATTAAATTCATACTGCTCAATGGGGTATTCTGTAGAAAACTAACCACAATTTAAAGACTTGATTCCTATTTGTTACATAAAAGTTGCAACTATTTTCATTTTGGGATTTCTACTAATTGTAACATTTTCCTATTTTGCCTATTGTGGTGGTTTTGGCCCACAGGATTCCCCTAACATGATGTTACTAACGTGTATTTTAGATATTTGACCACTAGTAAAATCTCTTTATGGAACTCTGTGTGGAGTCATTTGTTGCAAATTTAATGAAATGATGTATCATATCATAACTTCATAAGCCAATGAAGTGTCATCAAAAGGAAGAATGAAACCTTTAGCTTCCTTACCGGGGTCTATTTTCAAGAATAATCAACTTCCTTTAGCCTGTGAAATCAGAATATTTATGGGCTGCTGATCTTTACCTATGTCACACTTTCACAACTCAACTTTCTTGCTGTATTGTAGATATTCCAGGAATTACTGTGTTGTGTTAAATTATGGGCAAAGAGGAGAGGGATGTATGGTAATGWAAGATATTTCGTTCTATTCTCAGCTCCCACATTTATCATTTCTTTTTATTTCTTTTTAATAGTATAAAGTGTCTTCTGCAGTTATTTGGGTTATTTGGAGGTATCCATTTAGCTGTTTTAGCAGCCTTTATTTGTCAAAGGAATCCAGGTGTGAGCTTGGCCGGTCTTGTTTCAATCTTCTTTAAGACATTTGCTTTGTGGCCATGGCCAATGCCAGTACTTCTACAACAGGGGATGATGCTACCGCCTCATCCTCTTGAAGCACGAGCATTAATGCCTATTCAGCTTCCTAGCAGCCCACATGAGTATTGCCATTCCAACATCACCACTAGCACATTCATGAAGATCAAAAACGAGTTTCGAAGAGGTTATCGTCATATTCAGGTATATATATAGGCATTGTTTGGTTTATTATTGGAGCGACTAATCTTTCGGTACCATCATGCTTCTATTCTTGAAAACATGCTTCAAGAATAAAAAACGTTAAAACTGTAAGAATGAGTGATTTTGATCAAAAATTACGCGATATGATGGGTATATGTATGTACCCTAGTATGAAAAGATGCAAAATTGTTGCTATTTTTAATGAGTTTGATTCAAGAAAATCTGTTGGTGCAGGATNAGTCATTAATCTCGTGGGATGTCAAATCTGGCATGAGGTCATAGGTTTGGTTGCTAGATACTACGAGTCTTTTTGTGGTCGGGCCCGTTGGCTGGAAKGCCYARAATTTCCCAGGTTCRTGTGGAGGGGCAMTTTGCATGAACCAGGACTAGAYGGGCCGAWAGGTGCCCGATACCATGATCTCCAAAAGAAAGGAAAAACAAAGGGAAGGGAAGGGAAGAGTGATGAATATAACCTATGTACGGTTTTCWCATCGGCAAACTTGTGGTTTTAATCTGGTATACTACGTACCACATTTCATTTTGGGTAGGATATATCTTCTTGTGAAATTTCATACATGTGTAATGTACAAAACCTTCATGTTTCTTTCATGCAGATAGTKATCAAGTGGATTAMGAGAGTTGCTTACCGACGTTGGCTGCCGCAAAATCAGATTAGAGCTGCCTCAGCAACTATATTAACATATGGATCGTATGGTCTTGGTGTGAGTTTCTGTTTCATTTATTTATTTCTCCATGGAGCAAGATCTTCTTGGTTTATAATTTGTTTTCAAATTTTGTTTAGGTGCATAATGTGGAGTCCGATATTGATGCTCTGTGTGTTGGCCCTTGGCTTGCCTCTTTGACAGTAAGTCATTTTATCTGCTACTTCATTTTCTTAAGCTGTGTTGTCCAGCACCTTTGGCTCAATTGGTCCATGCGGCCTCTACAAGGCCCTAGCAAACATTAGGCCTTTCGGGTCAGGTGTGGCTCTCAAAGGAGTCGACAGCACCTAGCTGATGATTGACTGCTAGTTCATTTTTTTGTTTTTGGAATTATTTACTGGTGTTTCAATTGGTATGCAATCAGAAAGAAATCTTGCAAGTGCAATTTGTGAACTCTGTGTTTTATGTTGCACAGGAGGATTTTTTCATAGTTCTACGCAATATGCTTGAAAAAAGAATAGAAGTGTCGGATATCCACTGTGTTAAGGATGCAAAGGTTCCTTTAATGAGATTTAAATTTGATGGAATTTCCATCGACTTGACTTATGCTCGACTTCAAGTAACAACTGTTCCTGAGGTTAGCTGGAGTGATTTATGGTTTCTTCTGCATCTTTTGACTTTCTGTTTTATGTCTTTACTTGTTTTCTTTCATATGGTTGAACATCCCACTAATGGCAAGTCTCAACCCCACAACCATTTATTTAAAAGACTTAATGCCAGCTGCACTGGAGATAACTGATGCTTCTTTAATTTTGGATGTGTGATTGCGCACCGATACAAAGTTAACGCATTTTACTGAATTTGATTTGTAGAATGTTGACATTCTCAACCCCTTGTTCTTAAATGGTATCGATGAAACAAGTTGGAAGAGTTTATCTGGAGTACGTGCAAACAATAGCATCCTGCAGCTCGTTCCAGATGTCAAGGTAGGGAGGCTTCAGAAACTCTAAATACTGCATTAAGTGCGTTAGGGATAACTTATGGGCATACAAGTGTGCATATTCTCTGATGGTTTTTCCTTCACTCCTGAAAATCAAAAATCTCCTGCAAAAAAAGTTGCAATTAAATTCATACTGCTCAATGGGGTATTCTGTAGAAAACTAACCACAATTTAAAGACTTGATTCCTATTTGTTACATAAAAGTTGCAACTATTTTCATTTTGGGATTTCTACTAATTGTAACATTTTCCTATTTTGCCTATTGTGGTGGTTTTGGCCCACAGGATTCCCCTAACATGATGTTACTAACGTGTATTTTAGATATTTGACCACTAGTAAAATCTCTTTATGGAACTCTGTGTGGAGTCATTTGTTGCAAATTTAATGAAATGATGTATCATATCATAACTTCATAAGCCAATGAAGTGTCATCAAAAGGAAGAATGAAACCTTTAGCTTCCTTACCGGGGTCTATTTTCAAGAATAATCAACTTCCTTTAGCCTGTGAAATCAGAATATTTATGGGCTGCTGATCTTTACCTATGTCACACTTTCACAACTCAACTTTCTTGCTGTATTGTAGATATTCCAGGAATTACTGTGTTGTGTTAAATTATGGGCAAAGAGGAGAGGGATGTATGGTAATGWAAGATATTTCGTTCTATTCTCAGCTCCCACATTTATCATTTCTTTTTATTTCTTTTTAATAGTATAAAGTGTCTTCTGCAGTTATTTGGGTTATTTGGAGGTATCCATTTAGCTGTTTTAGCAGCCTTTATTTGTCAAAGGAATCCAGGTGTGAGCTTGGCCGGTCTTGTTTCAATCTTCTTTAAGACATTTGCTTTGTGGCCATGGCCAATGCCAGTACTTCTACAACAGGGGATGATGCTACCGCCTCATCCTCTTGAAGCACGAGCATTAATGCCTATTCAGCTTCCTAGCAGCCCACATGAGTATTGCCATTCCAACATCACCACTAGCACATTCATGAAGATCAAAAACGAGTTTCGAAGAGGTTATCGTCATATTCAGGTATATATATAG